TTCTATTACAGGTTTTACGGTAATTATTTGGAAGAATTCAGTTAGGCTGTTTTCAATTTGTTTAATTCAGAACAACTTTTTTGCTAAAAAAAATTTGATGTGAGTGAGGCTTCGTGGATTACAAAAGCCGGACTGCTCTAAAATAGAAAATCTAAAAATTGTTCTCAATTTAAGCTTCCAAACTAGTCAAATTCAAATTGTGAATACATACAGTTAAAAACAGAAAATTCGGAAAAACCAACATACAATAGAAGGACACCCTTTATTTTCAACAAAAAGCCATGTTATCTCTGACCTTGTCAAAGACGTAAAAAATTGTCAACTAATGAATTCTTTGTGATAATATCAGGTCCACTTTATCAGTTTACACATTTTCGATATCCTGCTTTGAAGCACTGTTGCGGTCTTTTTATTACATATCTTATAGTAATAAGTCTGTTGAAACAATTTGGTAATTATTTGATTTCGAAAAATTTTACTTCATTGAAAATTAAATTTCAGGAGCTCCACATCAGTCTGTCCAATTTCGGACTCACTGCCACGACCAACCCACCACCCATGCCACCATCCGGAAACACTCCCATTCAACATGGTACATTCCAAAGTTTGAGTGCAATTCGAGGAAACCAATACGTGCCAATCGATGACTACATTGCTGTGTTTTCGTTATGTTGGATTGCCAAGGCGTAAATCCGTTCAGCGTGAATGCCAATCAACACTTTACCCTTTTGCAAAAAAAGGAGCGCTTCGTAAGTTATTGGAAAACGATCCTCGGATCTTTATTCCATTTTTCAGCACTCGAACCCGTACGGTTTTCTTCCGAAAGCTTGAGAGTGGATCGCAGACATCTACCTGCTTCTCGAAGACATCAGAGAGGACGGTACCTTCAGACACATCGAGATCATGAGACTTCTCAACAAATCTGTTCCTGGAGTCAACCCATAGTCTCCGATCTCCTTCCGTCACAATCCAGCGAACGGGCATCTCCTCATTGACTGAAGCTCCATGAGTTCAATTTCGTGCCCTTGCTGAATCTCGCCTTTTCTTCCACACAATCTACCAACTTTGTTTATTTATAGTTTTCTAGCAGTGCCCATTAGATTATCCCGGCTATATCCCTGGTCTCTTCTTGCCAATCACCGAGATTCTGGTTTTTCCTCTTCCCCCATGAGGTTAATTTAAGAGTTTTTTTTTCAAATTTACTCCGTTGATAGTTTCCCCGTTCATTTGTCCCCTCACCACTATTCCGTTCTTTCATTGATTTTACATTTTTATGTTTTAGAAATGTGTGACTCGTGCAATTCTTCATTTCCTTTCTTCATTAAATTTTTTCATTAAATTATTGCCCCACTTGCTCTATAATGTATTTTGAGGGATTTCCCCTGCTACTCCTTTTTCATTCCACTCACTTCACACAATTCAGTTTTTGGTAGTGCCCGTTAATTATCCAAAATTCATCCTTGGTCTATTCTTGCCAACCCCCACATTTCGTGATTCTTTTCAAACCCTCTCCCTCCCTAAACTCAATAATGTGAGAGTTTCGCCTTGAATATTCACGTTTTTCTCTCTCGGTTCCCTATCAATCCGCTGTGAGCTTCTTAAGGTTTGTTATTTGTGAATGCAGTATCCATTCCCACGTGTTTTCTCTCACAACTTCGCACGTGTTACGTATATGTCTTGAAATTATCCCGTACTCTTGAAATGGGTTGAATGTGTTTTATAAAGTGTTCCTCTTTTGTTGTTTTTGTTGTTTTGTTGTTGTTTTGTTCCGAACAAAATAAACGAATTTGGCTACAACGTGGCCACGTTGCAAGAGAGGACTCGATGGTACACACCCTCACTAACCCTCACTCACCGTTATTCCCCGCCATGCACCTCACCCACATACACTCATTTCTCTCTCTCTTTTACGTTGTCTCTCACCTCTTACTCAACTACACCCACCATCACACGCCACCGCACACGATGAGCGACCTCTCTCTTCTACGTTTTTATTGATCGGTTACCGTACACGTTTTTTTTCATTCTTCTACAGCGGTGGACCGACCAGAGTCCTGCACTTTTTGTTTTCACCAGTATCAGTCAGTAAGACGAATAAAAACGTATTTTGTTCAGTAGATTTTTGGCATTCCCAAGAGTCTAGAGCTTGGCTGAAAAGTTTCCCATCACTTTGAAAATTTCGGAGGGTGTGAAACCGACCTAGATTGAAAACTTTGTTTACGGATATTTTTGAAAATTCTTAGCTTTTCAGCAATTTTTCGATTTCTGAGAGACACCCCTTTAGGCAAGTTTTTGCACTGAATACGTGGAAAAATAAGGTGTCTCTCTGATATCGGAAAATGTGTGAAAACTAAGACGTTTTAAAAAAATTCTGTGAATGCAACTTTTTCAATCTAGCTCTTTTTCATACCTTCCAAAACTTTCAAAATAATTATAAATTTAGTTGGAAATAATTGGAAATTTAGCAGCGGAGCTCCAGACTCCTGAAAGCGGCAAAAAAAAAGCCGAAAATGAACTGCAAAATACGTTTTTGTATATCTTAATGATCGGTAATGTATATGAACTACAGGTAACTTCAGAAAAAATAGTTCAAAAATCCGTTTGTTATTGAGTTATAGCCGTCAAATCTGAAATATGCCTTTTTCCCATATTTTCTTTTTCTTGGAATTTTGAGAGCTTTAGACTTTAGAACAGATTGATAGGATTGATAAATGTTTTGTTTTCAATATACTCTCTTTGTTTTACAGGACCTACATTCAAAAAGGTGCGATTCTCCACAATCGATTCCAAGTGGAAACGCATGCAGGAGCCTTTAACGGCGAACGATGTTTGTACGCGATAGATTTGCAAGAAAACCAGCAAGTCACTCTGAAAGCGTTTCTTCCGGAAGACCCACGTATTCACGCCCATATTGAGTTCTTCCAGGAGTGCGGCGGGATGCAAGGGATCCCACAGTTCATTGATCACTTTTCTACGCTTGGAAGTGAATTCATTGGTTGGGATATTCTTCTTTTTTTTGGACCAAATGATTATTTCAGCGCATTCTCACAAAGGAGTTCGACTTCGTAGCATTCTGAACTCTCGACTCTTCCATATTTCCATGGAAAATACTATTCGCCTTGGGTACCGCCTGTTCAGAATCTTGCACTCGGTCCATCTCAAAGGCTTCCTCCATCGCGATATTAGACCATTGACGATAACGTGTGATGTGGATCAGAATGAGGTACGTGTTTTTTTTCGAACTTTTAAGTTCAAATATTTAAATTCCTACATAGTGTGGTTGCTTTTTCCCATTTCCATTCACTAGCCAAAAAAGATGGTCACATAGAAACAAATGTGTGAACAACTTCGAAACTATACAGTATCTCATTCTCATCAAGAAACAATAATTCCAGGAGCTCGGTGTCAACCTGTCTTACTTCGGCCACGCAGCACGCATTGATACCCCACCAGCAAATAATCCAGTGATCCTTGGACCATATCAAAGTCTACATGTGTCACGTGGAGGTGCATACAGTAGAATCGACGACTACATATCCATTATTATTGTGATGCTTACTTGCCAAGGAGTCAATCCCTTCGATTTTAACACCAACAGCCACTTGAACCACATTCAGAAGAAGGAGAATTTTGTAAGTTATAAAGATAATAATTGTTGTGACTTCATTTTTTTTAGCACGCAGATCCCTATTCCTTTCTGACACCGGAGACTGCCTGGCTGGGAGATCTATACCTGCAACTGGTGGAGATGCGTGCTGACAGGTTCAGTCACTTGCAAATCATGGCCGCACTTCGTCGTGCTGTTCCTGGAATTGATCCTCAAACGGTAATCACCTATCACAATGATCCTGCAAATGGATATCTCCTTATCGATTAATATGTCTTTTTGCCAACCTCGCTCTCTTCTTTTACATAATTCAACGTTTTCCACATTTTTTTCCCATTTGCTCAATATTCTCGGGCTTGTTGTTCCTTTCGAAAAAAATCCTCTTATTTTTGAACATCCCAGTGCCTCTTAAAGTTTATCCGTTTCTTCTCACCAATCCACGGGTTTTCTAATTTATCCTAATGCCTTTTCATTATTGCCATCAAATCCTTACTTTTCTTCTCCTAACCCTAAAAATTTTAGGAGTTTTCTCTCGAGTATTTGTGATTGTTAGTTCATGTTTTAAGCTCAATACACACGGGGGACAGGAGATGTTTCGGAGGTTTTTTGGAGTTAGGGTTTGCATTCTACCGTGACGGTGTACAACGCTTAATGTCACTCTGCGTACAGCTGTAGTCCTCGCCTTTATGTATGCAATCGGAAGGCCACTTTCTCTTAGCCCGCGTGGCTCAGTCGGTAGAGGCGACGCGCCATCAATCTTCGCCCGCACCAGTTCAACTCCTCAAGGGGCGTATTTAAAAGGAAATTCGAGAAAATTATTTTTTCATGTCTCCCCACCTTCTATTACATTTTGCTAATTCACTAAGTATATATTAATGAGAAGCAACCAGTTTTTCGAGTAGGAAGTCTATTTGAAAATCACCCCAACCCGCCTTCTTATCTTTTGTAAGGATTTTTAGTGTTTCCAGAACCGATTTTTTAGAATCCCCAGCATTCCTATTACTTCAATAAAGTGTGAATAGAAATTCTTGAGGTTTTTTTTGAGGTTTTTCAGTGAGAGACAATTTGAAAAACTATAAAAATGAAAAGCAATAAGAAGGGAGATAGTTTTATGATCTGAAATCACTAGTAATATTTAAAGCGTATTTTTCTGAACAAAAAAATATAGCAAATATTCTAAAAATTTCATTTTTCTACTATTTTCCTTTTCAAAAGCCAAAAAAAACTCCAAAACGATTTGATTTTCTTCATGTATTTTTCCTCTCAATTTTTCAATATTTTTCTCAGAAATTCATTCAAAAACAAATACTTTCTCGGGCGTCGCCGGTAACTTCCGGCCGGAGGCTGGTCGGTTTCTAGACGGAAGTTGGTCAGATTCCGGCAAAGACATTATCGGAAGACCAAAATCCGACAAGCTTCCGGCGAGCTTCCAACCCATTTCCGATTTTCTTCCGACCTATTTCCGACCTTTTTTTGTATATTTTGTATATTTTTAACTCGGAAGCAAATTACCCAAAAGTTTATTATTACAACAAAATTAACAAATAATGTGAGAAACAAGTAAAAGTGGAAGCAACACAAAATTTTTAACTATAATTATGATGATTTTGGTAGAATTGGAGGGATGTTGTAGCTGCTCGGGTTGTTCTTGGAGTGGTTTTTTAAGCTGAAAGTATTCAGATGAGGAATACTCGCTTGTATAACTATTTCCTCACAATCCTACAATATCCGTTGGATCGTAATCATCTGGGTCTTTTGAATTCTCTCTGCAATAGTCTCGGAACGACTTCATATCTCTCCAGGTGAGATGTGACGAGCAGGTGGATCTCTTTTGTAAGAAGTTACATAGAGAAGGCAAAATAAGGTTAGCGAGCTTACCTTGCAGTTCAAAAGTTTTCCACTTTCCAAATAGAAGTGGTATTCGCGAAGATAGTTGTTGAAATATTTTTATTGTTATCCAACATAGGTGATCAAACGTGCAGCATATGCCCAATACTTGATTTACTGGTTTCGGCCACGTTTTCCCGTTTATCTCGTCTTCTTCGGATTTCTTTCATTGGGTCACCAGAAATTTTGAGAAAACTGAAAAAAGAGTAAATATTACGAATATCTATAAATATAGTTACCTCTCATTTTCGCTGATTTTTCCGTATAACAGATGATCAGGAAGAAACACTCCAACTACATCGTATGAAAAATCTGAACACAAGTTGTAAGATTGATTTGCTATAGATTCTCACCGAGCAGAGTATCTGAAACTTGTTCGGGTAGTAGCTGAAAATGTTTATCCGTAGATCTAACGCACTTTGGTCGGTAGCTGTAATTCCAAATGTGATATGGTGGGTTCAGCGCCTATAAGAAAGTAAATATTTCAAAAACTTTTTCGACTGCAAACTCACATTTTTTAATACAGAAACCAAAAGTACCTCAAACTGTAAATCACTGATAGATTGATCATCGAACCCTTTTCTGATGGTGGATCCCACGCGGAGAACGTTTCCATCCTTCACTGCATCTTTCAAAGATTCTGCAAAACATGAATTTAGGCAGGAAATCTTTCAAAATGTTACCCATAGATGTTTTTTCTGATGATTTATTCTTAAAAATTTCGAGATGCTGAAATTAGATTTCACATGTTTTCTAGAAGAAGAAGGAGCATCGTCCGTCGAATTGCTTTTTTCATCTTCATCTATCTCGTCCTCTATATCTGATTCTTCATTTTCCTCTTCTTCCATTCCATCGTATTCGTGAGCATCTAGTATTTTACGCTTTTTGCGTCCTTCTGGTTCGTACGTCTTCAGTTCGGGGTACTTTTTTTTGCATTCAGAAAGAGTGAGATAAGTTCTTGGTGTGCTGTCAACACACTCCTCTTTGATTCTCATTATTGGTTTCTGGTTTCTCTCCGGAGATGTTTCTGAATCAGTCTCGATCTGGTTACCCTTTTTGAAACGGGCACTTCTTCTTTCTGATTTCCTGTATTGACCAGTTGTCGGAAAATTACCAGTTTTTTTGGAGGCATCTGGAAATGAGTTAATTGAAAAACCTAATCAAAATAAAAGTATTAAATGAAAATGGTACATGGAATTACATCATCAGAACGGAAAAAATGATAATTCACTCAACATCGATACACATATGAATGGTTACAATACTCAAATAATGTAACAAATCCTTCCAAACTCTTAGCATTGACAACTTTAAAAGTACAATCAACAATTTTTCGAAAATAATCATTAGCCTTATTGAGGATATGTGACAAATTATTTGAAAATGAGTGTTGGTTGAAGTAATTGCTGAACTGTCGGAAGGGGTCAACGGTTTCGAAATTTTGTAGCGACACAAGAGTACATTCTGACGGAGTCGAGAAAATTCGTTCAATTGAGCCAAATGCAATGAGGCCTCTATTATCTTTCAAGTAGACATAGCAGTTGTGAACAGTCTTCTGCATACAACTTCGTCGAGTAGAAAAAGTATGTTTTCCATTGTTGTAGATTGACCTATGATATTATATATGAAGTTAACTAACATGTGTTTTTTCTCACCTGAATTTGGGTGGTTTTCCATTGATATAAAAATTTTCTAGGGCTGCTTTTTCTTCTTCTGTGATTATCTCACTGTCACATTTCTCCTCTGGTACTATGTCGTTATCGTTGTCGTCTAAGAAAGCTGACATGGTTTTTGGAGTTGATATTTCCTTCTGGTACAAAGAACTTGAACAGTGTTCCGAGGCTCTCTTCATGCCCATGAATCTATCAGAGATATTCATTAGAGTTCTGGTAGTGTATGCGTTAGAACTTCTTCGCAATGTTTGATTCAATCTTTCAAAACTTGATGCGCTTGATATAAGAGGACTTCCATGGAAACGGATGGAGGAAACCATGTGATCAATGAACATCTGAAAATATGTTTTGTTGAGGTTGTGATGTAATTAAAACCTACGTGAAACTTCATAGTATACAAACGTGGGAACTTTTTTTCCGTCCACATCTTTCAGTATTGGAGTTATCATTTCAATAGAGACACATTTTTTCTTCGACAAATGGCAATCTGTGACTTATCTCGTGATTATCCAATGTATCACTAACATCATCAGCCATTTATTTGGAGTGTTGTGTAGCGTAATAAGTAGAGGAATCGATAGATCAAACAGCTGAAATCACTCATTGGAAAATGCCTTCGAATTCATAACAACATGTTGTACTTCTGTTCCAGTTCGAGTTGATAACTGCACTGAATCGATAAGTGAATAAGATGCTCTTTCAGTTGGAATAATAGCCGTGTCGAGTGCTTTCTGAATAGAAATTTCAGCATCCAGCAACAAAAATATTCCTTCTTACCGCCCAAGCTAATCGAATTTTTTTCGGAATTCGAAATCCTATCCACGAGCCGTTTCCTAGTAAGTCCTTTAGTAAATCTCGCGAAGTTCCTTCAAAAATTAGATGTAATCCATCGAACCCATCCGCCCACGGAGGAGGAAGACAAGTTTCAATTAGCTCTGTAATAAGCGTTCTTATCAACTGAATAGACACCCTAGCAACTTACTTTTGGGATGGTAGTTATCGTGATATAGACGTACTGCTTCTTCAGAATACCAACATATCGTCTGACCATGTTTCGTTTTTGTCTGCTTTCCTTGAATATCACATATGGAACAACAGCCATACGACAGCCAGTTGGGTAATCCTCTGATTTTCCTGGAGGCCTGAACAACTTATAGATCATCACATTGTGACAATAACAAAATAAAAGATTTACGTCCATATCGAGCATTGACTGAAATATCTCTAATCGAACACTGTACCAGTTCTCTTCCAGCTTGACTCGCAGTGGTTTTTCATTAGTCTCTTCCATTCCCAGTTTCATACGTTCGAAAAACGATTTGAAATCCGGAGACCGTAATTTTGTATTACTTTGAATGATCCCGGCTAGAATAACAAACTGTGGTCGATATTCACGAAAAGTTCCGGTTCTTTTTGATACATCATGAGCAGCGAGAAAAAGTGGCCAAGTTTCCCCTCTGAATTTCAAAAAATTCATTTTCCAAGTGACAAGATACAAACCGTGCACATCCCCTTTTACGGAAACCATCCGTACTTAACGACAGAAACAGAGTTAGAATATTTGGGTGTTCGTGTTCACTTTTTCTTACTCTTTCTTTATACTTCGGAGTGTCACATAATCGCTCACAGATTGATGGAATTCAGCTGCTTCTCGTCTGCAACCAACAAAAAAGTTACAATTGGCACTTATTTTTTATAGATACTACTCTTGTCCGAAATCAATGCACGTTGCGGCCGAGAAAACAACGGTGGGCAGAGCTTAGCTCCCACGGAGAGAACCTTACTGTATTTTTCAAATTATTGCACGCGCCTTTAATACAGTACCTCAATATTTATCGAATTTTTGCCTTTTTCTCTCATTTTTTCGTTTGTTTCTGTCTAATTTTGTCTAATTCTCATAAATCTTCAGTTTATTTTTCTTATAAAATAGAAAAAAACAGCCAAATAGGGCCCAAAATAAAAAGCGTCCGAGGTAGGTATTTAAAGGCGCATACATCAATTTGTTTTTTCGCTGTGCGACCGACGATGCGATTTTGAGTAAATTTTCGGCCGCAACGTGCATTGATTTCGGACGAGAGTAATATTACCAAGATGCTCGAATCAAATACAACATTTTTAAACATTTTCCACTTGCTGACGAACCGAATAAGTGATGACTGTTTTTAGCGAGGTAACATTTGCTTGTGATTTTGCGTCACGACGACATTGGTTGTTGACACATGTTTTGGAACAGGATAAAATTGATGAGAATTGAACACAGAAGGAGTATATGCGAGTGCTGAAATTTCCCCAAGACTCCATCCTCTTCTTTACATGTGAGAACTGAAAAATAGATTCATGTGTTTTTAGAAGGTGTGTCATTATATATTACTTTGACATCTCGTTCTCTTGACAGCAATTTGACACATTGGAAAATATCTTGTCCGAAATTTCTGGACACACTATTTTGAAGAAAAACAGCAGCAACATGACTGACTACATCTTCGAAAGCTGAAAATTATGTCATACCATACCAACGAAGTCTATTCCACATGAATCATCATCTTCGAACACTCATACTTGAAATCAACACGTACAAATGCCTTGCTCCATATTTTCCAAGTTACTCTCATCTCGACTTTCATCTTAATCTATTGTAGTGTCTAAAAGAGCAACTTTGTATTTCCAAGTTTTACAAAATTCTAACCTTCAAAATCTTCTTGAGAATCCCAAACTCTCCATTTCGATAGCTCCCCGTTTCGCATCATTTCCCCATTTTCTCTGTTTTCGCCAATTGAAGATTCTTCATTTCCTTCTTCCTTTTCTTCTTCTACACTCCTTTATCTCAGATATATTAACACTTGAAATTTTTTGAAAATCAAAAAGAAAACTGAATTAGCTTAAATACAAAAAAAATAGGCGAAAACGGAAGAAAAAAAAATAGAAGAATTGAAATGAACCTTCTGCACGCTTCACGACATGCACCGCACTCAAGTTCCGGCCAAAATCCGGACAACTTCCGACCAATTTCTGAACAGCTACAGGATGCAGCGGGTGCATTGTGCATAGCACAACCATATTGTTATTTGTCATACAGTGCGCAAACAACTTGCAGTTGATACTCAAAGAAATTTTTAAATATATCTACCAAGTTTTGAAAAAATCTCAAAACCCATTCAAAAGTTACAACCGTTTGAATTCATAACTTCAGATTACCGTAAACACTCTAATAGAACGCCACCCGGACCGTTTACTATGAGCCTATATATCTCACTTTTTTTGAAAGATATAAAAAAGTTGTCGACTAATAAAATGTTTATCATGATATCAGCAACATTTCATTAGTTAACCACTTTTTGATATCTCTCACAGAAAACGAGATTCATGGGCTCAAAATTGACGATTTGGGAGGCGTTCTATAAGAGTGTTTACGGTATTACTCTTGTCCGAAATCAATGCACGTTGCGGCCGAGAAAACAACGGTGGGCGGAGCTTAGCTCCCACAGAGAGAACACCACTGTATTTTTCAAATTATTGCACGCGCCTTTAATACAGTACCTCAACATTTATTGAATTTTTGCCTTTTTCTCTCATTTTTTCGCTTGTTTCTGTCTAATTCAGTGTAATTCTAATAAATTTTTAATTAAATTGTCTTAGAAAATAGAAAAAAACAGCCAAATAGGGCTCAAAATAAAAAACGTCCGAGGTACGGTATTTAAAGGCGCATGCATTTGTTGTTTTCGCTGTGCGACCGACGATTCGATTTTGAGTAAATTTTCGGACGCAACGTGCATTGATTTCGGACGAGAGTATTATCTATTTTATTTGGACGTTTTTCTTTGAGTTTGAGAGGAGTCTGTGAGTAAACTGAAAGGAAAATTCTTTGGAAACATATTTTAATGTAAACAGTAAAACTGTAGTTTCTGAAAAACAAACAGTTTTCGTCTAGAATTTCCTTGTGCTGAGCAGCAATCGTTTTTTCACAAGTGGTGAACATTACGTTTCCGCTTCAATATGACTCTGGGTAAGGTAAATAATTCTGATTAACTTTTTATATCCTATCGCGAAATATAGTTTTCCTGATTCTAGTAAAATTCATCTCAAATTCCAGCCTCTTTGAAAAGGTTTTTCGTATGTAAAACAGATTCATCAAACTGGCTATGCAAGTTTTAACTCTTAATGTTTCATAGACCATCAGTTGCCTGGTGCATCTACCCTCCAACTCCTTCTAAAGGTTCCCTCTAACCACGCAACGACACTCCGCTATCCCGCTCGGCGCGCGCACAGTTTGAATTTAGTTTTGAGTGATTGCGAGCTTGGATTTGGCTCGTAGTTTTTGAGAGACTCTTTTAAGGATTTCAAGTGAGTTTGCTTGAATTCTAAGCTTTTATTTGTTGTTTCTTTCTAACTTGTTTATAATAAACCGATTTTGTTACATTTCTTGTTGATTTCCTTCTATTTTATCACAGGAACCTGATACCCCGGACATACCGCGGGCAATTTGGGGGCCGAACCCTTTTGTTTATCCGTTTATCCGTTCTTTTACCCCTTTTTCGTTGTTTTGCATCAATTCTCCCCAGAGTTTGAAGGAACCAGTGAGAGGATTGTTGTGAAAATTAATAAAGAGAAATCGCGATTAGGTGAAGGCCTATCGTTTTTTCTCGCAAAATTTAGTGAATTTTGCAAGAATCTCTTCGAGTTTGAAGGAACCGGCAGGAAGTTCTTGTAGAATTTGCGAAGAGGAAATTCGTGCAGGTGAAGGCCTACCGAGTTTTATCGTTTTGTAGGGTGTCGCAATAATTTCTCCGAGTTTGAAGGAACCGGCAGGAAATTATTGTGAAATTGATCAACGGAAAGTACGATTAGGTGAAGGCCTATCGGAAAGACAGCAAAGAAGAACGCCGAAAAAAACATTCTTTTGAAGGAAAAATTTGTTTTCAGGCTTGGAGATGACAACGATCGGGAGCAAGTCAAGAAGCAACAAGGACAAGTCGGTGGATTCCGAGAAAAGTGAAGCGAGGACGACGACGATGGAGAGCTGGGCAGATGCGATGCAGAATCAGGTAACGCTGAGAGAGCGAAAGAAGCTTGTCAAAGGTTACGCTGATTTCATCGGAACCAGTGAGACAGTCGTGGAGAGTGTGCGTGAGCAGTTGGGCGTGCACAGCAAGTGTTCAGAGAGGCAGAAAGACGTGATAGTGAAGCCAATGAAAGAGTTTGTCAGCGAATTGACAAAGCGCTACAACGAGCTGAGCAGTGGAAAGTGGGAGCGCGTTGTGATGCGCATCATGCGAGAAAACGGGCTGGAAAAATTGGAAGACTTGCGGGATGCGGTCTTGCCGGATGATTTGACAGCGAGCGCAAGAAATACTGAATCAAAAGTGTTTCATAACCAGTTGAAATTGTTGCAGGAAAAATAAAAGAGAGAGCAGGCGGAATTCGAGGAAAATCTGGATCGAACAAGCAGAGAAAAAGAGGTGTTGGTCGCGAAGCTCGAGGAAGCGTGGAAAGCCGCCGAAAAAGCAGAGGAAACGATCGAGGAGCTGGAAAAGGCACTGCAGAAGGAAAGGAAGACGTCGGAGAAGTGGAGAAACCAATTGGAGCACGCGGAAGGTAAGAAGAAAGAAATACAGTCAAGAAATAAAGAGAAAATTCAGGTGCACTCAAGGAGATCGTCGTCAAGGAGTTCGAATGGTTCGTCGGTGGATTGGCGCGATGAGAGAAAGGAAAGAAAGACCGGTGAGTCTTTTTCTAAGAAGTGTGACCTAAAAAATGATCGAAGTGAAGACGGGCGCGTGAAGGTGAAGAATTGGGAAGTGAAGAGCAGTGTGGGGGATTTTCCGGAAGGAAGTGTGCGAGTCAGCGAAAGAAGAAAGTGTGAGCGCGACAGTGAGAGATGTTCGCGAGTGTCACGGAACAGTTCGCGAATAATGGTGGAGTGTCTGAGCAGAATGATAAGGGCGTCAGCTCTGCCAGAGCCGGAGAAGTTCGACGGGAAAGGAGATGTCAAAGAGTTCAAAAGATCGTTCATCCTCAAGTACAAATCGGTCACGGAGTGCGATGCCGATATGGTGGCGATTTTAGAAGACAAGTTCCTTAAAGATGCCGCAAGAACGTTGTTCAAGACACTTCCGAATCGATTCAATCGATCGATCGATTCGCTGTTCAAAGAGTTTGAAGAGAAGTTGAGAAGGAGGCAAGGAGATCGCGAGGTGGAAGCTCTCAACGAGTTTGAGGATTTAGAGCGAAAGCAAAAGCAGCCGATGTGGGAGTTTTTGATGTCTGTGGAGAAATGGTCGAAGAGAGCGTTTCCACATCTGGAAGAAGAGACACTGTCACAGCTGAGAGTCACAAAGCTTATGAGAGCGCTGCGGGATGATCCGACGATGCAAAAACTGATGACTATGAAGCGATACGAGGTGGCGAAAAAGGACCAGTACGAGTTCCTTAAGGATATCGTTCTTCAGCAAGAGAACGAAGACAAGAGAAGGCAAGGGCTCGGAAAATCGGATCGACACGAAAAGAAGGAGAATAGCTGGAAAAAGAAGCGAAGCGAGGCAGCAAAGCAGGAAAATTCCGAGGAGAAAAAGGAAGGATCGGAAGCTGGTAGCCAGGGGAACAGAAGTGAGAGTGAGAGCCAGAGAAGGGCAGCGATCAAATGTTATAAATGTCAAGGAATGGGGCATATAGCTAGAGATTGCGATGCAAAAGTGATAAATGCAAAAGTATAAAGAAGACAATCATCAAAGAGCCAGCAGTGATAGCTTCCCCGAGATTGAAAATCTCGGGAAGAAGGAACATTCTGGAAGTTCGGAATTCGCATGGAAGCGATTTCATGGAGAAGTACGAGTGGAAGAAGGTGAAGAATGTGCTATGGCTGTGGAGAGTCACAAAGGACGAGAAGGTCAACCAACGGATTTTCGAATTGATCGAGAAGTTGGCAGAAGAAGTACCAGAAGTCATAATGGTTCCGTTCAAGCTGGAATGTGTCATGAAAGAAGTGGATGAGGTGACAGAGGAGTGGAGAAAGAGGCTGAAGACGTTGAACAACGTGAAGCTTATTGATCCAAAGAAGGAAGTCGGAAAGCGGAAGATGCCGCTCATAGGGACATCATCGGATGCGTATGAGTCGAAAGAATCGCTGGTGCGATATCTGGAGCAAGTGGCAAAGGATAATCCGTGTGTGAAACGACTGAAGGCGATGTCGGCGGAGAAGGAGCAGCCACGTAGCAAAATGACCAAGTCCGATAAGTAATTAAGGACATTTTGGGATTTAAATGTTTCTTTTTGTTTTGTATTTGAGTAACTATTCTAGGGTATTGTAGTAGTTTAGGTTTAGTAAGAGTTTAGTAAGTTAAGTACTGTAGGTATTTTATTGTAATGTTGTGAGTGTGAGTAGGTGAGGTGCGTTAGCAAAGAGTGTAAGGGTCGGAGAAGAATGTGAGTCGTGGCGAGGGTCATACCTTTCTCCGGTCAGGGGTCCGGATTTCTAGAGGAGGGGGAAGTTGCCTGGTGCATCTACCCTCCAACTCCTTCTAAAGGTTCCCTCTAACCACGCAACGACACTCCGCTATCCCGCTCGGCGCGCGCACAGTTTAAATTTAGTTTTGAGGGATTGCGAGCTTGGATTTGGCTCGTAGTTTTTGAGAGACTCTTTTAAGGATTTCAAGTGAGTTTGCTTGAATTCTAAGCTTTTATTTGTTGTTTCTTTCTAACTTGTTCATAATAAACCGATTTTGTTACATTTCTTGTTGATTTTCTTCTATTTTATCACAGGAACCTGATACCCCGGACATACCGCGGGCAATTCATCCAAATCATACAATCTCATGTTTCATGAACTTAATAAACAGGATTCACATTTTCTAAAAATCAAAGTTTTGAAGTCTCGCCATAGCCAGTAATAATGATATAACAGAGTGAACTTGAAAAACCACTTTTCCGATCCTAGCTGGAAAGATAAAAAAGATAATTCCAAAAATCAAAGTTATATTTTTATTTCAGCAGTGGAATAATCTATCTGCAAAGTTTCAAAATTTTTCGATTACTTAGAAGACAGTTACAACGATTTGTTTATGTAAATAAATTCTGCCGCACCCAGTATCAGTTTGCAACTTCTGACCAAAAGTTGTCCAAGATCCGTCCAAAAGCCGAACCCCCCTCAACTTCCGGCCAGAAGTTGCAAGCCAACAACCGAGTTCTCTCAATTCATGTTTTACTTCTATTTTCATAATTCTGTGTCCGTCTTTTGCGTAGTACGATTTCCGCCCATCTCTCGCAGAAAAAGAAGAGTGAGAAATTAGGGAAAGTATGATCAGCATTAGGTCATGAACAGCATAGAATGAGTATTAAATACCGACAAGATACCAAATCATGTTTATTTGAACATACAGCACTTTCTAATGGGCAAAATAAAAGTGTAGTAAATGAAGGTAGACCAATTTTCTCAAGGCCGATCAAAAAAAATAATCACGAATCGGAAGGTTCGTATCAGGAAATGATAAAAACGGATAGGGATAAATATCAAAATGTTGCATCTCTCGAGAAAAGTGATAAATAAGTGATGTGATAAAAGATAAAAAAATATAAACGATTGTTTTACGAGTAAGTACCACGCAGTACTTGGAACCAAAATTAAATAAAACAGGAATGTGGAGAAAAACCGGAGGTATGAAAACAAACCTTAACAACACAAAGTTCATGTATTGTCTGACTCCGTGTTTTTAGGAGTCTCCTATTCCGTACTGTATCGGCGTATTTTTACTAAAATTCTGATTTTTTTTTCAAATTATAAATGTAATTTTGCACGAAGTAAGTCAATAAAAAAATAAAACCATTTAATTCTGCTCATTTTAAGACAACTGATTTAAAAATGTTGGCGGGATCTCATCCACTTTCACGATTGAGGGAGGAATATGTATTGTTTTCAATTATGTGAGTTTGATTATTAAAGTACAGACTCACCGGTTTGAGTCATATTTCTCAATTTCTAGTGGTCCTCCAAACTTGATCATATTTTCAATCTGATTTTAAAAAACTTCATCTTTAGGATAAAATGTGTTCCTTTTCTTGGACTTTGATCATAATTTTTCACGATTGGTGTAAGATAAAAAAAAGTAGTGAACTCCAAAAATGTTGGCACTCACAGTGCATTCTCAGTAAATAGAAGTTGGACGTTTCTTTCACAATCGAAATAAGCAAACTCATAATTTAAGAATCAACATAAAGGAGTTACGGTATTGGTTTCCTACGATGATAACTGATAGATAAAATAATTAACTTAATATTGTTGAGGCTTATCTTGCTTAGAGATTGCAGTTTTCAAACATTTGAAATGATTAGGTTTTGAAGTTTACAGAAAAAAGTTCGTAAAAATAATTGGTGTCACTTTGAAATGTTTTTTCAGTGAGTCGTAGAAGACATCACTCACAAGTGGTACTGTACTTTAAAAATCATGTTATTTTAAGCGCTCCATAGACAATATACGAGTGCCGAAGAAATCGGAAAGATGTGTTCCTAACACACCGGAACCAGACTATTCGACAGCATTTCGACGTCCCGAAAAATTGAAATTTTGAAGTGTTTTCTTTACAAAAACTGAATGAATTTTTTATTGAAATTGTTGTCTTCGAATGATAAATTGCGAGCGTTTGAAAATCAGTTGAAGTTAAATTTACTGGAAAGGAAAAAACGAGTATCTGCGAATGAATATATTTCATTTGGGATGGTTATTTGAGCTAGTCATGATAATCGTTGATAAATAAGGATAAACAATCTTGGAAAGGTGATAAAACTGATGAAAAAAGTGAAATGTTTGTTTCAAGGATGACGCAAGAAATGCTTGGCTAAAATTGAAAGTGTTGCCAAGGCGAAGGTTGATTTCACGTTCAGCCATCCCTGTGTTCCATTCTTCTTCGTGATTTGAACGGTGTCGACGATATCGTCACTAATATCACCATTTCTGAAAATGTGAAATTACGCATGAAGTGCTGAATATAACTCACGATACTTTTATCTCTAGATTACTAACAATCTCTCTCAATTGGAGAAATCATCTTTAAAATTGGAGATTGGTTATCAATCTTCTTGCTCTCATTTTTGAGCGATCGAAGATTTGGGAATGTTCCTCAAGAGATTGACACCCCGGGACTGTTCCCAAAAACATTAGAACCTCAGTTTTTGTCTTTAATAAACCAAGAAATTGATCTTTAGTGTGCAGGTTGGTGAACGGCGCGTAGGTATCCGTCAATTTTGCGCAGAACCTGCAACATTGTTTTTTTTTTAGTTTTAAAAACACATACGCTTCTTCATAGACTTCATCACTCGGTCGAGTTCTCCGTTTGAATTGCTCAGCTAAAGCCTGCCTGAAAAGATATTAGAAGCAAGCTCTATCTGCTTTTTATGTCAAATCGAGAATTATAAAGACAATAAAGCTCGATAGCGGTCACTTCTTCGATATGCATTTGAACGTGGTCCCAGACTCGGTAAGTAATATCGAAGGGTCTGAAGTTTAAGTTTACGTTTTCCAAGATGCGGGGCCTGAAAAAGATGTCTAGATAGAGTCACTAGGTTTACTTACCTTCGATTCACAAAAATAATCCCAAATCGATTCGTAGCATCAAGAACTGCCGCAGAAGTATAGAGAATAAGGAAAAAAGAATTCAAAAAAACATATTGGGGTTTTAGGGTGGAGGGAATACGTATCTTCAAAAAAATCAAAATGAATTAGAGGCTTCCAATCGGGATGCCACTTGAAATACAATGATGCTGGTTTTGGGTCTCTATTGTCCTTATATACCTGTTTCTTCTACACCTAGACCCACCTGGTGGTTGTATTTAGACATTGTGAAACAGCAAACCCATTGTATTCAAGCAAGGTAAATTTATGATTGTATACTTCGACGATGGGGATGGGAACAAGGTGAAGAAGACCCAGTATCCAAGGATTAATCAAAAAAGAGTGCGTCTAGTTTTTACGGTAGATACAAACCGTACATGAGATTTTCTCGTACAATATGTATGTCAAAAAAATTTGACTTTCCGATTTTTGCTCAAGTTTAAAAATTCATGTTAAATTACCATGCATACCTCAATATCATTCATCTTAAAGACCCGGTGTACCATCGATGAGCCCTTTTTCGATGAACACTAGGTTCCCAGGTCTGTAAAGAACTGCCGTAATTACTAATCTCGCGATCTCCAAAATCCACGGAAGACGAAAAATCAAGTATTGAAAACTACAGTTAGACGGGTCCGCCGGAAGAATTTCGGAAAATTTGACGAAAAATTCAACAAATCCGAAAAATTAAGACTTTCGCTATTTGTAAAAATTTTTCTTTACGAAAGACGGAAACCAAAAGACAAAGAAAATTTGAAAAGAAATTTGAATATGAGGCTTGTTTCATATGGAAACAGTTTTTTAATTAGCTTCAATGAAATTAAAGGCAGGGAAACCATTCTGTTTGAGTTTCTACGGTAAGCTCTTGCTTTTTTTTTTGGGAGACACTTGATGACGCCGAACTTCTCCGGTGGCCTAATTGTAATCTTTTCATTGTTTGATCGATGATTCAAATCTTTATTACGAGATGCATTCTTTTTCAAACGAATTACATTCCTGGAATATTATTGTAGAGTTTATTGCATCCATCTTCAAACAACATCTGAATCCGTCTCCAGTCATGCACGATCCATCGTAGACAGCAGCACAGTTATGAACACAGAGGTTATAGCAGGTTTGGTTGGAGGCGAGGGCATAGCTGTTCCATGGAGCACAGTTGTCAGTTCCGTTCCTCACAACACCTATTTTGCCCTAATACCCCTCTCGGAACAGAATGCCCCTCCGATGGCCACTATCCACAGCTGTGTTTGGACCAGCACAGAAAGCTAAGTTCATCTAGAAAGCTGTTCCGACTTTGACGAATAAAGATTTGCATGAAGATTTTTTCAGAAAGCAAATTTTTACACCTCAGAAAGATTCTATCAAGAAAGACATCAATTTTGAGTTGCCATTTCTTCCAAGATATTATCAACCATAGTATCTTCCATTACAACAACACACATTAATTTTTTTTTCACTTTCAGGAAAGATAAAGTTAAATTTTCCGTGTTTTTCCTTTGGGAAAAAAGACCACTCCTATTGTTTATTATTGCATTGATTTGTTGGAAAATATATCGAATAATTTGTGAGAGAAAAAAATACAAATCATTTTTTAAACAGGCAAATTTTCGTTCTTATTCTAATCTAACGTCCTTTTTACACGTTCTTCTATCAATGAGAATAGCTGAAAAAGAAAAAAAAGGATTTCTGATTTTTCAATGTTTAAAGTATAAATGTTCG